CAACCACCCCCCCCACCCAGCGCCGCCGCCCCCCCTCCACCCCCCCCCTGCCCCCCCGCCCGCTCCCCCCCCCCGCCCGCCACGAGGCGCGCCCCCGACGCCACTATCCACCCTCCTTCCCGTGGGCGAGCGGGAGGGAGGAAAGAGCGCGCACTGCCCAGGCCCCGCCCCCTAACGTCATCAACTGCTGGCATAATTTATGCAAGAATCCAGACCTCCTAAAAAGCGGAGGGGGAAGGGGTCAGGTCACTAACCTCCCCCCCTCGCGGCGGCCTTTTCAGTCCGAGAGGAAACTCCTCCCATCCTCTCTCGGGAAAGGAGGACGCAGGGAAGATGGGTGGTGGGGGAGGGGACGTCAAATGTTGACAGGGCGCTGGGGACACAAGCGCTCAGACAAGTCAACACCGGCTCTTCGCTCTCCCATCGCTCGCTCGCTCCCTCCCTCCCATCGAGGAGAGGAAAGAGGAGATCGAGTTTAACGTGCCTCTACTGAGGCGGCGGCGGCGGCGCCCTTCCTTATCTGCCTGCCCGCGGGGCCAGTGCCCGAGAACTCCGGTGGGAAAGGCGGCATTTGCCAGAGCCCTCATGGCCTCACGCAGCCGCAGCTTAACCTGGCCACGCAGAACACGCCTCGGCCAGCAGCTTGATCCGCTGCGGCTGCTCTCCCTGCGCTTGGAAAAGTTTTCCGACCTTCACGAGTAGGGAAGCTCCTTTGGCGGTTATCAAGTTTGGGAAAGAAAAAAGAAAAACACCTGCAAATAAGGAGCTCTCGCAAATCGTGAACTTTCCGCCTCAGCAGAGAGCCCGTTTCTGGGATTCCGTCTGCAGTAGCAGAGTCGCAGGAAGTCTCACCATGTGAGGGCGATTTCTCCCGTGAAGGGTACCTCGGGGTTCCCCCATCTGATCTCCCAACGATACATATACCATTGTGGCTGAGGTCATAGGGATTGTAGTCTACTAAATTCGGAGGGCTTTTTTTTTCTTTTCTTTTTCTTTTTTTGAGGAAAAGAAGGTCCTGGATGTGCTCTTTCCAAGCTACATGACAACTGCCTCAGGGGTACAGCATGTGCACAAACACTACAAGACAGGATGCAGGGTGACCTGAATCTATGAGAAATTACCATGGGACCCTGAGGCAGCTCTTGCCCAAATATCCTAACTGAATTCCATAACACAAATGGCAACATGCTGAAGGGCATCCTCTTTTTCCACTATGCCCCCCCAAGAGATCCTTGGAATGTAGCACTTTATATAACATACTTTGAGGAGAGGGGGGGAAGTCTATACACCCTCTGAACTGCGAAGACTATGAAATATTTGTTAAATTCCATTAGCATATGAACTGAAGTAGAGAAGCACAAGCATTGCCAAGGTGCCACTACTCCCAAATTAAAATTAGTGAAAGGGAGCCCCCTTAATATATTTTCCCTTGAGTTGCTTGAATGTAGTTATAGTTATACAATGCAAGAGTTAATATTTTTAAAGAGTTTAATTGGAAGATACTCTACCTTCAGAAGTTACAGCTCAACAGAAAACAGGATACCTAAGTTAAGAGACAGGAGGCCCAGATTAATACTTCAGTTAGATCATAACCATTTATTTTCTTTCAGGTACCTTGTGTCTGAATCACCAAAATCCATGTCTGCTAGTTGTCATTCCTACCATCTACTGTCATTTTTCTGTTACAGAGTTTAGTTCATGATTCACAATTTTTTATATTTGAAACTGGCAGAGTGGCAAGTGCACATTTAAAATATCTTTTTCAATTATCAGAAGCACTTACTCAGTGAGTAACACACTGAAGATGGAGTCTTATATCAAATTAGAATATTGGTCCATCTAACTCAAGAGCAGCTGGTCTGCAGAATTTCCATACATTTTTTCAGTTCTACTTTTGCATGAAAACATATGTTGTTAGCATTGTTTTAATATAAACTGATACATAGATTTACTATAGCTATGTGACTCAGGCTTTGAATGTTGAAGCTGACCATTTTAATTGTTGCATGGTCCATATACAACTTTAGGATTTTAAGATATGTTCAGAGTAAAAGAAAAAAGAATGCTCAAATAGCAAAATGCTAATAAGCAATAAAGCAGCTAAAGGTATTCCAGTTATATTTTGCTTTAGGCTTCTCCAACAAAAAAGTATGTAAATCACCAGGAAATTGTGAAAAGTAGGATGAAGGAAGGGACAGGATTAAAGTTTGGGACTCAGAAACATGGTCTGGGAATACCTCTTGACTTTGTTTAGATCTCCAGGCCACATGAGTATTGAAGGAATTGACTGATTATTTGGCTAATTACGTATTAACTTTGAGAAAACCTATACAATAGATGGAAGTGCCAGATGACTGGAAGAGCACAAACATCATTCCTATCTTCAAAAATGGAGAAAAGGAGGCTACATGGAATTACAAACCAATCTGTTATCAATACTTGAGAAATTCTCCTGCATGTACTGTAAGCACCTTGAAAATCATGTGGTAATTATCAAAGGTGTATATTTGCTGAAAACAAGCTTGTTTTTTAATCAAGAAACTTCCTAAATAAATTGTGGAAAAAATATAGATTTAATATATATTTATTTCAGCAAAACATTTAAAAAGTATCCACTGAATTCTGATTAATAAGCTAGGTATGTGTGGACTGGATGTACAATGAAAGGATACACATAACTGCTATAAAATATTCAAAGAATGTTCATCAATGGTTCTTCATCAAACTGAAGAAGTACAATAAAGTTCAGTCCTATGCCCAGTACTTTTAAATATTTCTGTTATGATTTGGACTAAGAGATGGGGAAATCCTAATCACATTTTGGATAACACAAAATTGAGTGGAATAGCTAATACTCTAGAAGACAGAAATAACCTTCAAAAGAAACAAATCCATCACACAGATCCACTTTATTCTGCATTGATCAGACCCCATCTCAAATACCATGTCCATTTCTGGGTACCACACCTAAGAAAGATTCAGACAAACTAGAACATATTCAGAGAAGTGCAACAAGAATGATCAGGGACTAGAAACTATAACCTATGAAGAAAAATTGAAGAAGCTGCATGTTTATGATGACTGAAGGGAGATATGATAGCATTCTTCAAATACATGAAATATCATACATGCAAAAGCCTTGCTCTCAATAATTTCAGAGTTCAAGTCACAGAATAATAGTTTTAAATTATAGGAAGGTAAATTCCAGATGAATTTTAGGGGTAAAAAACTCTTAATAGCAAGATTAATTTGACAATGGACTTACCCAGGAAGATGGTGAGATCATCTTCACTTACTAAGCAAAAACAGAAGCTAATTGCTAGGAATGCTTTAATTTGGATTGGTGCACTGAGAAGGGAAATGGACAATGGCCTAAACATTTCTATGATTCTAGGAGTATATACTTCATATAGAACACTATGGCACAAAATCTATGGCATTTTTACTTTGGCTTCTGATTATGTGCGTATTGTTTCTATTGTTATATGTTTTATAGTGTTTTTAACTGTTAGCTGCCCAGACTCATGAATTTGAGATGGACATCTATATTAATTGAAACAATAAATTCAAACAATCAGCACGCAAATTAAAATCTTAACACAAGCATACTTTGGAAGAGCAGGAAAAAGAAGCTCTGTACATCACGCATGAATATAACACATTTGGATAAAGGAGATTTAAGCTCTCTTGAATTTGTATTATAATGTCCTGAATATATATTCTAAGATGTTTATAACCAGTATTAAGAATATTCACTATTCACTGGCTGCTATGCAGAATATATTTAATCTATCCATATTAGGTGATTATTTTGTTCTGTTTTTACTATTTTTAGCAGAAATGTTGTGTTTTGAAACATTCTGTTTGGCAGAATTCCTCCTTTTTGATCCCTACAACATTTTTACAGGAAAGTCTTATGTATCCCATAAAATGTGAAGGCTAACAAGGATTATTCAAGATGGTTTCACAAAATACAAATTTTATCAGTTTCCAAGCCTATGCTATTATAAAGAAGTGAACAGCTACAGCTTAATATACATTAAGACAAAACCTGATAAGTAACAAATAAGCTGGAAATATTCTTGCAGAATCAATAGGGAATAAAACACCTGACTTTTTAAAGTGCCACAATACTTATTTGACCCAAAACATACATAATAAAGCCAGGACCACCTGGCTTTGTGCCTTAGAGATTTTGGAACCTCTGATATTCAAGCTTTGGCAAGTCAAAGAAATAATAATCAGGCAACAATCAAGTAATAATAGGTCAGTTAAGATTTATTAAGAGGTATACACGGATCCAGTTATTTCCTCACAAATTGAATACTAATGAAATCTGACACCTAGAAATACTGTGAAGATTTGCATCTATGTTAATATCTATGATTTCCTATATTAAAGGATACTTTTTGTTGATCTGAGCCTAAGTTTCAAAGTATGTGCTACCATATACTAAAGTTGTTGTATCTTAAGGATCACTTTAATATGCACAGCCTATCTATCCAGATTCCAGTTTAAGATGGCATCTGGTATGATTTTGTAGCTTTCAAGAAACGTCATGTTATAATACAAACTTGGAAACATACTCCTAAGGAACCTTAGAACAATAAAATACTTTCATTTTCTCTGAACAGTATACAGGAAAAAACATATATTTTATATCTCCAGATGAAGGACAGCAAGGCTAACTTCAATCTTATAGAATTTCTTACAAGTTAAGAGGCGAAAGTCTCAAGAACTGAAAACAGTTTTACTTACCATACTGGGGAAAAAACTAAAGTCAACTTGAAATTATTACAACACCTAAATTCCATTGGGCAAGTACAGTATTGGTGAGATAACTGAGATAAATGAGACTAATGTCCAATCTCCTT